CTTAACATTACAGTTCATGCCACATTAGTAACAGGTATTTAAGTATGCCCAGTGCATAAAATCTAGCTCATACTGATTTTTTGCTCACACTAGGTAAATGAGGTAAGCCTTACTCCACAACCTGCAACCCCTAGATATGTGACAATAACTAAACACACATTTCTTTGGAAGCATCTCTGTTCTTGTCAGGTCTTTTGGTCATAGCACTGAAAAAACTGACTAAAACAGGGGAGGAAAAGTTTACTTGGGGGCTCACAATTTCAGAGGTCTCAGTCCAAAGACAGCTGGTTCCATTCCTTGGGGATCTAAGTGGAGATCATGCTTAAAGAGTGTGGTGGAGGAAAGCAGCTGGCTGGCAACATGGCCCAGGGAAACAGAGAAAGAGTCTGCCCCACCAGGACAAAATAAACCCCAAAGGCAGGCCTTCAGGGACCCACCTCCTCCAGCCACACCCTACCTGCCTACAGTTATCACCCAGTTAATCCCTATCAGGAGATTATTCACTGATTGGGTTAAGATTCTTATATCCCAATAATTTCTCTTCTAAACTTCCTTGCATTGTCTCACACATGAACTTTTGGGGGACTCCTCACATCCAAACCATAACAATCTCTTTAAATATTACATGAGACAGAGCAGAGAAAAACATCCCCAGGCATCAAAAATGCCTCAGTTCCTCTTCATAAATAAATGACAACTTCTGAATAAGTAAATCAAATACAGAAAAGCAGCACTGAGATAACCCTCCACCCCCATCACCCAAAGCATGCTAACTGAAGTTACTCTTCTTTTTTGACATAAATATTGTTCCTGACTGCAGACAAGAATATATTCTGCAACAGCAGCCTAACTCCCTGAGGAAGTGGGAATGTTTAGCTAAGGGGTCCACAAGAATATCAAATATCCATTGGCAAAAGCAGCAGACTGCAATATGCACATAATCTCCTCTCTCCAAGCAGCACAGCTACTTGATGGATTATAAGATTCTGATCATCTGAAAAGCATTCCAAACAACTGTGACTGATCAATTGCTGACAACCGATACACATAAAGGAACAGAAGCCTGAAAATCTCATAACCAGTAAAGCAAAAGCATAGGTGGATCAGATGTTTTATAATATAAAATTATACTGATAAATTCCTCTATCCCTTTATGTAAACATGAAGTAAACTTTACCAAATATATTTTCACTAAAAAGAGAACTGGGTCTAGAAAAAATCATGCTATGACCATGCCATTAATCTTTTTCATTAAAACCACATCTAACAATTTATTATATTCAGGTATCTTTTCAAACCCACATGAAAAATATTTATTCCATTCTGGCTTTTCCTAGTAGAATTTAATCATACATTACATATTTCATCAATAACATGAAAATGATACACAGAATATGATATAAAAGACTGTCCTCTTTTTATCATATCTAAATTTTAAAAAATGTGATTTAAAGTGTCACTTGAAAAGTTTGCATAAAATGTCAAGAATTTCATCTCAAAGTAACATCATATATACTGAACATATTCATCTATATATAGACTAGCTTTGCCAAAATTACTAGCGTAGTTTTCTTTTTTTTAAATTCCAAGTTACAAATTTAAACTAGTGGCTCTTACAGTGTTTGAAAATAAGCAACAAAACAAGGACTTTACTTGTTCACAGATAATCTACTAGAGACTATCAGCATGCATATATTAAAAGAGATTCCCCAAAAGTTCAGTTTCCTTTTGATTTGAAGCTTTTAACTCTGAAAGCAGGCCAAAGTCATCACTAAATGCCAGCAATTTAACATCATGAGAAAGATAACTTGCTCATCAGCTATTTATTGAGTATCTGCAGAGTGCTAAGAGTGCTAGGGTGGCCTACTCTAAAGGACATCAAGAAAGACACACAAGGACAAAATTATAGCCCAGAAGGTCAAAGCAAGAGAGATCTGTCTATCGCAGAGAATGAAGACCCCGGTAGCATTTGACACCAGTGGCCTTACAGGTTGGAATGATGATAGATAAACACCCTGTCTTCTCTTTCCTAGAAATACCCAATACAGTGGTGGACTATTTGGGTGAAGACTATCACCATTATCTGACATCCACAGAGACCAGAGGGGCTATGGTCACATCAGTAACTTCACAATCAATTCTCTGTATTTAATCAGGCATATCACCAATCTGCATTTCTTGAAAAAGCACATCATTAAATAAATACCTAGCATTAATCAGCCATGTTTGACCTTCTGATGATGGAATTTCTAAACTTTATTTAAGAAAAATACATACAGTTACACTTCATTTACTCAGCTACCTTAAATATTTGGAAAACATTTAAGAACGTAAAAAGTAGCAAAACAGTACATTAAGTAGGCAAAATAAATGTCAGCATCTGCTTCCTACAACTACATAGGACAGTCCCAAATGCACTCAAAATATGTTTTATTTTATAGGTAAGTTTAATAAGCAAACTGTAACTAGAAAACCAGGGAAGAGTGAGCAGAGACACGTGAGCCACTTATAACAGGTCACAAATGACAGGAGGGAGGAGTTAAGAAAGTGACAAGAAATGAGAACACAAAATGCATAGTCTGAGGCTACTTGATGCAGAACTGATTTTAAGGTGAGAACTTAAAAGAAAAGTGGTCTCTTACTTTTTTTTTTTTTCCTTTCCTATTGAACTTGGGAACTGCTTGTAGGTACTACTTTAAATAACACAATACTGGTCCATCAATATTAGGAATAAGGGACATTTTTCCCCTTACAGGACACAATAATAATAATACACACAGTGGGTGGGAAGTACATTTACAGAAACATGAGTTTATGTTTCCCACTTTAATGTTCTTTAATCTTTAAAGAAATTGTTTTGCCAGGTGTGGTCATGCATGCCTATAATCCCAGCTATGTGGCTGAGGCAGGAGCACCGTAAGTCAGCCTGGGCAACTTAGTAAGACTCTGTCTTGAAATAAAAAATAAATAGAGCTGGGAATGTAGCTCAGTGGTAGAGCATCCCTGGGTTTGACCCATACACAGTACCACAAAAAATTAAAAAGAAAGTAAAAAGAAAAGTAGAAGAAAAAAAAGGAGTTGTTTTGTTTGGTGTTTGCTTGTTTCTGCTAACTATGTATACTTAAAACCCTTTCAAATACCATTCAGGGAGGAACAGCATTTTGAAAAACATGAAATAGTGCTGTTATGATAATAAGTGTAATTAAAATGCTGCCGAGAGCCAGTACAGGAATTTTAGATCTCACAGTTCGCAACAATAAATAGCAGCAGAGTCACTCCTGTGGAGAAGACTATCTTAATGAACAAATTTCAAACATCTGCTTATAAGAGATGCAGCTCGTGTCTGTGCTGGCAGATTCCTCTGGCACAGAGCTCACATTCGACAGGAGTGCATCTCCTTAGACATTTACTCCCTCTTTTCTTTTGGCTATGGCACATACATTTTCGGTGCTAAATGTCATAAATATTTTCAGGGTATTGACAGGTGGCCAGGAGAAAATTAACTTCCAGTTTTCCACATTTTGTTCCTTACCTCTTCACACCGACCCCAGGTTGAGAACAACATCTACTTCGACAGAGCTATTAGGCTCCTACAGCAACTAACTGTATCACTGCCACCACTGCCTGGGGGAGCTACTACTGCAAGCATGGGTGTGGTCACATCATCTCAGCCTGTTTCTTCAGAACAGGCATAAAAGTCTCCAAAACAGAGATGAAAATTTGTACATCAGTGTCCTATACCTGATGGGTCTAACTTGCAAAAGATATGTTTTAAACAGCTAGAGATTGATGCTACCCACACTTTAAAGTTACAAGAGTTATATAGGTGCTCAGGAAGATATTCATTTCTCTTAGCAGTTCTATTTCCATATTGATCGAAACATTTCACCAAATTACAACCACTGCCACTATGATGTTGCTAGTCAGCGACAGACAACTCAGGCAAAATAATGTACTTGATAAATGTGGCCAATGGCCTACACTTGATATTATTATAGTCATTCCCTTCTATAACAAATCTCCTTTTGTGTGTGTGTTTTTAAGCAATATATACACAGCCCTACCCTGCTGGTTAAGGCCCAAACTATGAAATTAATACACAAATAAAAACTAAAGACCATTGGAAGTAAACAAATTGTGGTATATCCATACAATGTAATATTATTTGGCAACAAAAAAGAATGATGTTCTGATTTTGCTAAAACATGGATCAATGCTGAAAACACGTTAAGCGTCAAAATTCGAAAACCTACATTTATATGAATTCTATTTAGATAAAATGTCCAGAATAGCAAATCCATACAGACAGTAAAGAGTAGTGGATACCAGAAGCAAGGGAAATGGGGAATGGGAAGTAGCTTCTAACAGGTACAGAGTTTCATTTTAGGGTGATGAAATGTTCTAAAGTTAGACAGCAGTGATATTGCAAAACTCTGTGAATATGAACCACTGAAATGTACATTTTAAAAGGGCACATTTTGTAGTCTGTGAATTCAATCTCAATAAAGCTGTTATTTTTTTAAAGGCTCAACAGATGATAAAAGACACTACAAGTAGAGTTCTTCACTATAGGAAGGCTAAATTCCCAGCCACACTTATTGGCACTTGAATTTTATCAGTGTCAGCTCATCTTTATATCCTGGATCTATCTACTAAGCCTGTAAAAGTTTCACTTTCACTGCTTAATTTTAGAAACACAATCTCCACTTAACAAAAAAGAGAAACAGGAATAACTGCAGTCAGGGGCTAAATCCCACAGTGCTTCTCTTTGTTAACAAAGTACATTCTATATGAACCCATCTAATGTAATTTATTAACAGGCAGTTCCAAGGAAATCTTAGGTCATCCAAATATTCTGCAATCACAGAAAAAAAAAAACTGCAGGTAGTACTTAATTCACCATCAGCTACAATGTCAAAATCTAGGTATGCCTATTTTACACAACTAGTGACAATTATTAGTCAATGAAAAAGGAAAATGTTTTAAATGTGAATACTCACCTTGTTTCTTTTAACCCTTCCTTCTGAATGACTTCCAATATCTGCTTTGCTGTCATTGGTGAGTTGGGATGTTTTTCTAGTGCCTAAAAAATAAAAATAAACATAAAATTTCTAGATTATTATATGGAAATATAAAAACTGAAAACATAGGTAAATCATGCAATTTTTATTTAAAGTTTTAAGGGGGAAGGGGCTTTTATGTGAATGTTATGTTCCCATCACACAGCTCAGGTGTCCAAATTTTTTTTATGAACTTTTAAAATGGCAATTTCTGAAACATATAGGGGGTCTGTTCTTGAAAAAATGTCACAAAGGCATACACACCAAAAAAGAAAAAAAAAAAAAGAAACCTAAAGAAACAAGTCAATAAATGTATGTAATTTCCTTTATGTGAAAAATTGCTAATATTTCATGGTTAAAGTCATGTCTCCAGGCTATTAAAATGTTTCCTAAGTTCCCAGGACCTTGGAAACATGGAGCCTGAATGCTACCAGTAGCAGAGAACAGAATGCTGGTCACAAACGTCATCATGGGATTCATATTTTGATCAATCTTGTTTATATTTTTTAAAAAATGAGAAAGAAGATAAAAACCTTCATGGCTAAAATGTTGAAATGAGCATATAGGAGCCAAAGTCACTCAGTGCTATGTGTTTTCCAGTTCAGCTCAGTTTCCTTTCTTTTGCCTTTTCCAATTAATTTCAAGTAAATCCTTTCCTCTTTCCATTCAGCCCATCTCAGTTTCATGACCTCAGTCCCATTTTCTTTCCTCTTCTGCCCTACTTATTCTTTTGGGAAGGGGTTTACCTCAAACAAAGGGCATAGAAATACATGAAACATAGCTCATTATTTTCACAGGCATTAGACCATCAGCCTTAGTAATCAGGTTCCCTTACTGATCCAGGGACTCAACTCCATGCAGTGGAAGTGGTAAGTAGCTCACCCATGTGGACCCCAGGGACCATACATGGGCACAAGAACCAAGTCTACACAAATCTTCACAATGACCTATTTCAAGGGTAGATGACACCAAACTATGTTACACTGGAGCATCATGCACAAATCATGGCCCCGTGCAACTTAAAGATACTACAGTTCTCATTTATAATTATTTACTAGAAGGATCACAGTTATTAAGAACTAACATGGTCAACCTAAAAGGCTTCCCAGTCCATTCAAAACAGCTCTGTGATCTCTTTGACTGTCATTGGCCAAATTTCAACTAGTTTACTAGCAAAGGCTCTGTCCATCGAGGTCCCCAAACTCCAAAGAGTCACACACAGCCTGCCCCGCTTCATGTTCAGGTTGCTTCCCCTGTCCTCCCTCTCCAGTTCCCAGGCGATCCCCCCCCCCTTGCCCAACCTTACTCATTCCTTTACTCATTGCTGGTAAGTGCTTTACAGGATGCAGACATATGAGCCACACTAGAAAGAGAGCATGGCAACTGGTATGTCCACAGGAAAGAAGGAAAACGGTCCTCCCCGAGGAGGACACGGAGAGGAGGTGCACTGAAAACTGGGAAAGGAGATAAAAGAAACAGGCATCAGGAAGAGGACTGAAGGATAAAAATCTTGGAAAAAAGGCAATAAGGAAACTGCATAATAAGGCTGAAAAGGGGAAAAGATTTTATCACATAGAAAGGGAGAAATAAATAGACATGGAAACAAAAAAAAAAGCTGACAGAATTTTCAAAAAAAAAAGAGGAATTGTAAGAAGAACAGTGCATAATTATGAATCACTGAAAGGAGATGCTGTGGTCACAGGTACTACATATAGGGTGGGCATCACCCCAGTGAGAGGCAATGCTGGGAACACGGATGGTCTCTCATAAAAGATATGGATAGAAGGTCAGTAGACACAGACACACACCAAGCAAGGATGAGGGGAACCGAGGGGAGAGGAACAGGATGGTGGAAAGAAGGGGAAGAAGGAGGAAAATTGAGCTGAACTGGGAATGTCTAAAGGCAAAATGATTCAGTCTAGAAAGGGCCAAAGAAGAAACTCCAGTGTACTGGACAATATTTTAACAGAAATTTGGGTGCACTTGAAAGTGGGGTTACTCACTGTGGAGGATTCCCTGTTTCTCTTCCTGAGTACAGGCCCCTCAGCACACCTGGGCAGCTCTTCCCAGCAATTGAGAGAATTTGGATAGCCCTGTCCCCTTCTCTATGACATCACATCCTACTCTATAAAGGAAGTAAAAGTGCCAAGAATTACATCATGAAGTGGAAGAGAGGCAGGAAGGAAATGATGAAGCCACACAGACACCAGAAGCCACCCTCAGTTCCTGCAAGACAGAGAAAGAAGACAGAGGAGGACATGTTCCTGGGTGTGAGCAAGCTGTACTGAGCTCTAGCTGTGTACACATGAGGGGAACAAAATAAATTACCTTCACAGAACAAAACATTGATACCATCAAAATAATGTGACACACAGCAGAGACATGAACAGACTCCCAAGCAGTCATACTCTAAAACACTGAAGTGAGGAAAAGCCCCAGTCAAGTATAAGAGCATCCTAAGCTCTCAGGTGCAAATACTAGATTGAGTACCACCCACTGTACCAGTAAACCTGTAACTATGGGGTACACCTTGGCCTTCTTTTTCACCTGTTTTAGATATTTTATCTATATGTGCAAAGTTTTCTATATTTATGCAAGCAAGTCCATTGGTCTTTTCCACTGGCTTCTACTGTTTAAATGCATAGAAATTACTTTTACCCACTGAGCATGCAAATATCTGCAAATGTTTCTCTCAAACATTTTTTTAAATATTTATTTTTTAGGTGTAGATGGACACAACACAATGCCTTTATTTTTATGTGGTGCTGAGGATCGAACCTGAGTCCCGCCCGTGCTAAGTGAGCGCTCTACCGCTGAGCCATAATACCAGCCCCATCAAACATTTTTATATACTTTTTAATTCTTCTGAAATTTACATTTTATGCAAAGGTGAATACGAACGTAAACCCCCATTTCCTATTAAAAGCCACATTTCCCCATGGTATGTGTTCCACTGGCAAGTGAAGCATCCTCTGCCCTATATAAATACCAGGATGATGAAAAGCTTTCAAAATATGAAATCTACATATAAATGTGGGGACCCAATATATAAAACATACAAACAGAGCTGTTCTTGCTGAGCTGGATATGAGAAAGGTACAAGTCCCCATACTTATGGCCAAAGGTGCATCTGGGAATCCTGAGGGTCTCAAAACTGCAAAGCACTGTCCTGGTGGCTTATGAAAGGATCTCTCTGGGTCTCTCTGATCTTTCAGATAATCACTGTCAGGACTCTGATTAAACTGTTGTAACTGATATCACACTAGAGTGCGCTGCGCTCTGAACAGGATGATGCTCTTATTATTCCTTATTATTTTTTCTTTAAAAAAATTATTTTTAATCCATTGGGATTTTTTTCTTAGTTGTAATTGGACACAGTACCTTTATATCACTTATTTTTTTAATTTAATTTTTTTTATTTATATATGACAGCGAATGCATACAATTCTTATTACACATACAGAGCACAATTTTTCATATCTCTGGTTGTATACGCAGTATATTCATACCAATTCGTGTCTTCATACATGTACTTTGGATAATAATGATCATCACATTCCACCATCATTGCTAATCCCATGCCCCCTCCCTTCCCCTCCCACCCCTCTGCCCTATCTAGAGTTCGTCTTTGCCTCTCATGCTCCCACTCCCTATCCCACTATAAATCAGCCTCCTTATACCAAAGAAAACATTCAGTATTTGTTTTGGGGGGATTAGCTAAACATCACTTAGCATTATCTTCTCTAACTCCATCCATTTACCTGCAAATGCCATGATTTTATTCTCTTTTATTGCTGAGTAATATTTATTAGAAACTTCCAACACAGTATTTCATTTAAATTTAATTTTAAAATCCATAATAACCACCTTATTGTTTTGTATTTTCAGTTGCAACCATGAATAAACTTTTTAATATAATATTTTCACATTTTACTGCAAATGCATACAAAAGCCATAGAATTGATAATTATTATCTATATGAAACAGTTAATTGAATTCTTAATAGTTCTAATTGTACCAAAGAATTGGAATTTTTTAACAAATGATATGAATTGTATCTTCTTTCTAGTATCTGTTTTGTTTCTCTTTCCTACATACTTTGGCTGAAAATTTATCTTTTGTAACTCATTTCAAAAAACTTGCTAAAAATTTGAGCTAACTTATCATTTGCTTCCTCAAAAACAGGCCCCTAAAGCTGCAACATTTTGCTAAGGATAAGCTGCAGCCAGAATTATTAGAATAAGCACTGCCAAGAGAAGAGTGTAATTAGAAAACACTGGGCAGACACATCACTGTCTCTTCACAAATTAGTCTATACCAGTGATCAATCTTTACATGAAATGTCCTTTCTTTCTTTGTACAGTGACTGCTCTCCTGTGGGAGAGCCATATCTGTGATTCTTGTTCATTCTCACTCTCCAGGAGTTACCTTGCAACTCTCAAATCCTTTCAGTTCTTACCTACTTTCTTTCTACAGCATTGCTCCTGTAGGAAAAGTTTCAAATTCAACACTGGTCTCCAAAAATGGGAACTCCCCTATGGCCAGGGACACAAAGGATACATATCATCAGCTACCTTCCTAGAGACGGGTCTTTTATTTTTTCCCAGGAAGTGAACAAATAAATGTGCAGATATACCACTGGATTTCAGGTTTCTGACTTACTGTATCAGAGCCCATGTCAAAAACATCTAAATTCATGCAACTGAAGCAAGACAGACTCGTCCCAGATATTTCCTCCCCCCATTATCCACAATCTTAGCTACAGGAAGGGCAGTGCTGGTATGCCAAATCATTTAGGGCACAGGCCATGTGAAGAATGTGTCTTTCTATGCATTAGGTTCACTCTCTTAAGTACTTTTCTGATTCAGGAACATTGGCTCAGACATTTTAAGGCTTACTCAAAAATTCCTTAGTGCCTTTCAAACAGAAAACTCACTTTAAGTGTCTATAAGACAAACACACTAGAACAGTATTCACATAAAGGTTAAAATTTTGGCCTTCTGGGCCCTAAATTAAA